CCAGAACTACTTCTGTTGTTTGCTGGTATCTATAGATTAGATATAAGTTCTTCTTGTTAACAATAAATACAATTAACAACTTATCAAGACAAGGTTACACAATGCAGAAAAAATATGATTGTTATTTCTTTACTTAAATCAAGACCACAATAAAAGACATTTGTGCAACAAAATTCTCAAAGTGAAAGAATTTATATTCTAACTGAAATTGTATTGATGAGAAAATGTTTTCTTCAGGAATGAAAACCACCTAGAATTAAACATTATTTTGTGACTCTGTTATGTTGCTTAAGATATACTGTACATATATATATTGGAATCATTAAATTATCATACTTTACATATTCAAAATATTATGATTTTTTACAATTGACATATTCATGTACAACTCCTCAATTAACATAATAAACGAGTGAAATTGTATTATTAACTTACCTATGTAAAACTGTATATTTTATTCACATATGATTAGACATGTGATGATGTTTCATTAATTTATATGCCCATATAAAGCTGTACACCTCATTTACATAGCCCTGTAAAGCTGTACATCTAATTTACATATTCATGTCAAGTGGTACATCTAATTTACATATTCATGTAAAGCTGTACACTTGATCATGTAAAGCTGTACAATTATTTGGATACATTTTAGTACTATTTGCTTTTATGTATAGGAAAAAGTTTAATTCTCAACCTCCATATTAATTAAAACTTTCCACAAAAATAGAATCTTTGCACTACATCAAAAAATAAAATACTATTTACATGCATCTACAAAATTACCTACAACACTAGTTCTTATGCAGTATAAGTCAGTGGATCTATAACATAGAATTCAAAACTGCATAAAAATGCTTATACTCAACATATGCGTTTGTATGCTGACAAATGACCCTATTACTTAAAGTCATATTCCTGTTATAAGCTTTATCATGAAGTGAAATTTAAATGCTTTTGGTATCTTTGGAACTAGCTGATAAGTTCCAGTGAAAGAAATACGATAATTGGTAAAATATTTTGTCCATGAAGCCTTCCTCTGTTTTATGTATATTAGATTACAAGTCATGGTAAAATGTGAACATTTCACAATATTCTACCCAAGTACAAAAATTATTATTCAAAATTTAAATTTCACTCAAGATTATCCTCTAGACTTCATATTGTTAAAATGGCAAGAAATTCTGTAAATGTTTCCCTGTGGATAACTGGCTTTGATATCTTTAAATGGTTAGTCGAGAGAAAATATTACAAATTTAAACAGTCAGTTTGTCTGCTGAAAAAGCTGACTGATTATACCTACAGAAATCATATGTCCCCTGCTGTACTAAATTTCCTACCACCCTTACAAATATAAATATAAAAGCAGAAGGCAATAAATAACCCATTTCAGAAGCTAATTATTTAGCAGACTGAGCAAATAATGAAGGAAAGACAACCTAGCTATAACACTGGAGTATGCTACTCTCATTTAATGCAGGGAGGGTTCAAATGCTTAAAAAGAAATTAGAAATTAAAATTCACAATCGAAACTTTAAACAACAAAAGAATAGTTTTAATCAAAATCTCACATAGCACTACAAATTATAATAAATCACATCTCTATAAGTTAATAAATTACAATTAAAAATAAGTATCATACAAATTAATGTTGTTTAATGAAGTACAAACATCTTTCACCCTCTTGAACATATATTTTAATTGTTTATCACAAGTTCAACCTCAAACCCTAAACAACCTTGTGAAGGCTAAAGGAAACTACCATAAAATTTGCACAAAAATCAGTTGTGTAAGATGTGTGGTACATGTGTATTAATCATTATCATAATAGTAGTCAATATTATATTTCTCACTCCACATCTTTCCAAAGAGGCAACAAATTAGTATTCTTAAAGGCAACTCAACATTTTGAAATACACAAATGTTTACAAATTAAAAAAAAACTGCAGAAAAAGAAGTGATGTTTTTGGAACTTTTCACACACTGAAGATACAATTTCTTGTTTTGTAAAAATAATTTCAAAAAAATAATGACACATGTTAAATGAATATGTCCTTGTATATCTTTTTGTTGGTAAAAAGATATCTATGGAATTCATTGGAGTAAATTTTAAGTTGAATGAAACATTAATTTCAACAAAGAACACAATTTAGCACCAATCACTGACATGGTGGCAATCTCTACAAAAATAACAGCATTTCAACAACATACAACTAGATACAGAGGGACTAGATAGGGTTGATAAAACTACACATTGACCTCATTAAAGGACTAAAACTGTAAAATTTCCTGCAGATTTCTAGGTTAGAGTCAACATTAAATACAGAATTTATACAATCTTTATGTCAAGGTTTAGTACATTATATTTTATCCTCTAAAATAAAATCTTTACTCAGATCTGATAAACTACACTGACAAAGGCAGAATACTTTCTAAAGAAATAGATTATTGACATGAAATATGCAAAACTCTGATATTAATATCTCGGGTCTATAATGACACTGAATACACAGCAATTAATATCTAGGAAAAACAAGGGATTTTTTTTGAAATTCTTTACCATTTCTAAGCCATGATAACCAACAAACTAGGACTCTCTTAAATAAAATATATCAAACAAACTTCAGTATTCAGTGAAAAAAAAACTACAATAAAATTCTTACTTAGAACCTTTACATTAATTTCTTTTAAACATTTAAGAAATGTTTCTGATTTAATTCTTTAATAAAGGGACTCTATTCCACGATTTTCAAAGGTGGAAAAAACATGGAAGAAAAGTACAAAAAAAAAAGACAATGAAATGGAAAAACATAGTCTACTTTCAAGGCCTTCCATGAAAAAACACATCTTTTCTGCATCTAAATTTTGGTAAACACAGGAAGCATAAAAAGAAAGTAACTAATTATAATTTTTTTAAAATTTTTTTTTGCTTGCTCTTCTCTTGAGTCGTTATATTTTTTAAACTGAAACATTTTATAGACAACTGATTTTGTTGATAAGTAAAGCAAACTTGAAAATGTCTAAGAAGAATATGTAAAAATCATCAGTATATGTAAAAAAAAAAGCCATAACTATAATCAAGTGTGATGATTCTTTTTTCAATCTTTCTGGATTTCATAATTCCCTTTTCACTTTCAATAGTCATGATTTTTAAATATTTCACATCTCAAAATAAGTTTCCATTTTTTTGTGACAGTAGATCATTAACTTATCTCAATATTGCTGTGAAAGGTACTTTATATCACATTATCAGACTAAGAATGGAATGAGTTGATTATATCACAGGAGTGTCACTTTGGGATACCTTCGACATATTTCTAAGTACAATATGTCCATCTTTTAAGTATAATTAAATAGAGAAAAACAGAGAAGAAACAATTAAAAAATTGATATGTGACTCTAGGGTATATTTAGATTACACAAATGTTCACTTTTAGAATTGAATATTCACAAATATTCCTGAAATTCAAAAATTCATGGCTTAATGATTCATTATCTTCAAAAAAAATAAATAAATAAATAAAAATCAACTCCCACATGGTCAAACATATTTAGATACCAATGTTTATTACATGTATGCAGAAAGATTAAGAAAACTGAGCAAAAAAAAAAGTTTACTAAACAATTAATTGAGAAATATTTTTGTAAACAAAAAATGTGAGTTTGAACCCCTGAGCCAGCAATTTGATCTAGAGTCATCAGAGAGTGCTACCAGGTGATGTGTTTAAATTTTCACTCATACAATGTACATTTGTATTATCTTCAGCAGCACATCAACTTCAAAACCAAAAAGACAAATGTTTATGAAACGGAAATTAAGTTGGTAATCATATCATTACAATAAGAAAACCTAAAAATGTCTGTGACTACGATTATCCTCAATTCTGGTAATAATTTATCAAATATCATAATGGTTCAAAATACGAGTCTATTTGATTGCACAAATCTGATGAGTGTCAAAACTAGGAAAAAGATATTCTCTTAATGGCCGATGGTAGAGTATTTACTGAATGATAAGTTTGTCTTTATCAACAAAACTATTCCTCTAATCTTTATTATGCAAAGTTTAAAATACTGGGCCTGTAAGGACGGGTAATCTGAGGATAAGTATTGAGGACGACATTCACCTGACAGGAAAAATCAAATAAACCATGGATAGGAAATCTATGTGTTGGTCAAAAAGTGAAAAATAATGAGCTGAACTAAAATCACATAAATTGGAATATGTTTTAGGTAGAGGGCGAGATTCAAAACATACGATTCTTGTGTACGAACAACCATCACACATTATGTAGAAATGTGTATATTAAGTAAACAAATAAAAACATACATAAAAAAAATCACCAACTAATCTGCACTAATTTGCTTGTAATATATAATTTACACCTTCATTTACCTGTTATCTGTACCAAGATCAAGTAACTGAGAATTAATGTCCTTGACCTTTTACATCTGATATTGTTTATTATGCCATCAAAAAGCTTATTGCATTAATATGAAATGAAGAATCCTTCTGCCATCATTTCCATGCACTTTTGTAAACAACTAATCATTGGGTATTTCATCCAATCTTCTAACATCTTTAAATAAATCTTAACAATCAAAAATACATGAACACTGTATTGATTGTAACATTATGTCAAAAGTGTACAAATTTAGAACAAAATGGGTTATTCCTTAGAAAACCTTCCTTGAAAGAAAGAAAATTACAAAAAGTAGTAGACTAATTTTTCTCTTCACAATTACCTTAGAAACAAATACTTCAAGGTCAGAGTTTGTTGATGTAACAGACAGAAAAATAAAAATGTCCAAACTTCTACCTGAACCAAAGTAAACAAATGTATTCAACACTTACCACAGTCTTTTCCTCAGAACATTAACACAAAAGTGAAGTCTAAGTTCGTTAAGTAGAACTATAAAATCTTAAATATGCAGACAGTGTGTCAACTTCTGAGTTTGGTTGAATAATTGAAATACAGAATGGGATAAAAACGTGTAATTTACTTGAAATATTGCAGTCCAGCTACAGTCATGAATTTTTCTATGAACATTTCGGAGTCAAGTACAGCGATGTGAGCAGCCCTTCCAATGATTGTATTTGCTGTGTTGGTGAGGGCATGAAAGACATCATAGCGAATGAGTTTACACTTGGGGTTGTTGACGATTGGCGTCAGGATATTAGCCACCATCTCACTATAGATAGCACCTGTAGAAATAAACGGTTTAATCAGTCAACAGCATGTTATTTCGACTGACTATAACGCTAGTCTAACTTTCAGCTCCCTTTAACACCAGAAATTAGACATAAGACTGACAGATTCTGGTTTTGATCCCGTTTTTGTTAAGATTTCGACTGACTATAATGCTAGTCTAACTTTCAGCTCCCTTTAACACCAGACATTAGACATAAGACTGACAGATTCTGGTTTGGAGCCCGTTTTTGTTAAGATTTCGACTGACTATAACGCTAGTCAAACTTTCAGCTTGTTTTAACACCAGACATTAGACATAAGACTGACAGATTCTGGTTTGGAGCCCGTTTTTGTTAAGATTTCGACTGACTATAACGCTAGTCTAAATTTCAGCTCCCTTTAACACCAGACATTAGACATAAGACTGACAGATTCTGGTTTGGAGCCCGTTTTTGTTAAGATTTCGACTGACTATAACGCTAGTCTAACTTTCAGCTCCCTTTAACACCAGACATTAGACATAAGACTGACAGATTCTGGTTTGGAGCCCGTTTTTGTTAAGATTTCGACTGACTATAACGCTAGTCAAACTTTCAGCTTGTTTTAACACCAGACATTAGACATAAGACTGACAGATTCTGGTTTGGAGCCCGTTTTTGTTAAGATTTCGACTGACTATAACGCTAGTCTAACTTTCAGCTCCCTTTAACACCAGACATTAGACATAAGACTGACAGATTCTGGTTTTTGTTAAGGAGCCCCTTTTTTTAACACCAGACATTAGACATAAGACTGACAGATTCTGGTTTGGAGCCCCTTTTTGTTAAGATTTCGACTGGCTTTAACGCTAGTCTAACTTTCAGCTCGCTTTAATACCAGACATTAGACATAAGATTGGTTTGGAGCCCCTTTTTGTTAAGATTTCGACTGACTATAACGCTAGTCTAACTTTCAGCTCCCTTTAACACCAGACATTAGACATAAGACTGACAGATTCTGGTTTGGAGCCCCTTTTTGTTAAGATTTCGACTGACTATAACGCTAGTCTAACTTTCAGCTCCCTTTAACACCAGACATTAGACATAAGACTGACAGATTCTGGTTTGGAGCCCGTTTTTGTTAAGATTTCGACTGACTATAACGCTAGTCTAACTTTCAGCTCCCTTTAACACCAGACATTAGACATAAGACTGACAGATTCTGGTTTGGAGCCCGTTTTTGTTAAGATTTCGACTGACTATAACGCTAGTCTAACTTTCAGCTCCCTTTAACACCAGACATTAGACATAAGACTGACAGATTCTGGTTTGGAGCCCGTTTTTGTTAAGATTTCGACTGACTATAACGCTAGTCAAACTTTCAGCTCCCTTTAACACCAGACATTAGACATAAGACTGACAGATTCTGGTTTGGAGCCTGTTTTTGTAAAGCTGTCATTAATCTAGTGTTGGATGCAGAGGAAATACAAGGATAGTGTTAAATTTGTTATGTATGGAACATTCTGGGCCAAGGAGAGTTCATAGATAAAAAATCTGAATGTTGCCTCTGACTATATCATGTTAATATGTTGATCATTAAATAAAAACAGAAGCAAACCTTCAATACTTTCAAGTCTTTCTCTCCCAAAGACTTAAAAAGTCAAAAGTACTTACTCATTTCTGAGTTTTCATTGATATGTAGAGATCCACCAGATGTTCATCAACCTGAGCTTTCTCTAACATACAGAGATCCACAAAACACTTCCCCATACCTGAGCTTTCTCCGACACTAGAGATCCACCAAACACTTCCCAATACCCGAGCTTTCTCTGACACTAGAGATCCACCAAACACTTCCCCATACCTGAGCTTTCTCTGACACTAGAGATCCACCAAACATTCCCCCATACCTGAGCTTTCTCTGACACTAGAGATCCACCAAACACTTCCCCATACCTGAGCTTTCTCTGACACTAGAGATCCACCAAACACTTCCCCATACCTGAGCTTTCTCTGACACTAGAGATCCACCAAACACTTCCCCATACCTGAGCTTTCTCTGACACTAGAGATCCACCAAACACTTCCCCATACCTGAGCTTTCTCTGACACTAGAGATCCACCAAACACTTCCCCATACCTGAGCTTTCTCTGACACTAGAGATCCACCAAACACTTCCCCATACCTGAGCTTTCTCTGACACTAGAGACCCACCAAACACTTCCCCATACCTGAGCTTTCTCTGACACTAGAGACCCACCAAACACTTCCCCATACCTGAGCTTTCTCTGACACTAGAGATCCACCAAACACTTCCCCATACCTGAGCTTTCTCTAACATACAGAGACCCACCAAACACTTCCCCATACCTGAGCTTTCTCTGACATACAGAGACCCACCAAACACTTCCCCATACCTGAGCTTTCTCTGACATACAGAGAACCACCAAACACTTCCCCATACCTGAGCTTTCTCTGACACTAGAGACCCACCAAACACTTCCCCATACCTGAGCTTTCTCTGACACTAGAGACCCACCAAACACTTCCCCATACCTGAGCTTTCTCTGACACTAGAGATCCACCAAACATTCCCCCATACCTGAGCTTTCTCTGACACTAGAGACCCACCAAACACTTCCCCATACCTGAGCTTTCTCTGACACTAGAGACCCACCAAACACTTCCCCATACCTGAGCTTTCTCTGACACTAGAGATCCACCAAACACTTCCCCATACCTGAGCTTTCTCTGACACTAGAGACCCACCAAACACTTCCCCATACCTGAGCTTTCTCTGACACTAGAGACCCACCAAACACTTCCCCATACCTGAGCTTTCTCTGACACTAGAGATCCACCAAACACTTCCCCATACCTGAGCTTTCTCTGACACTAGAGATCCACCAAACACTTCCCCATACCTGAGCTTTCTCTGACACTAGAGACCCACCAAACACTTCCCCATACCTGAGCTTTCTCTGACATACAGAGAACCACCAAACACTTCCCCATACCTGAGCTTTCTCTGACACTAGAGATCCACCAAACACTTCCCCATACCTGAGCTTTCTCTGACATACAGAGATCCACCAAACACTTCCCCATACCTGAGCTTTCTCTGACACTACAGACCCACCAAACACTTCCCCATACCCGAGCTTTTTCTGAACCACCAAACACTTCCCCATACCTGAGCTTTCTCTGACACTAGAGACCCACCAAACACTTCCCCATACCTGAGCTTTCTCTGACACTAGAGACCCACCAAACACTTCCCCATACCTGAGCTTTCTCTGACACTAGAGACCCACCAAACACTTCCCCATACCTGAGCTTTCTCTGACACTAGAGATCCACCAAACACTTCCCCATACCTGAGCTTTCTCTGACACTAGAGATCCATCAAACACTTACCCATTCCTGAGCTTTCTCGTTGAGCTGCCTTGCACATTTCTATCCTAGAGGAATGGTACGGTACATAGCGATCCTGAGAAGATCCTACCAGAAGTACATGGCGGAACATTTCCAAACCTGAAAAATCATAAATTATGTTAATGAAGCATGCTAGCTGATTCTCTGATCTGTATCTCCTTTCTAAATATGAAGAGCAACAAGAAACTTGATGGGAAACTTGAACTTTTTAGATGAAAGTATTAAATAGTGAGTCACACTTGTAAGAATTTTTCATGGCCTCATTCCAACTTTTAGAACTTTTTGAGATATCATATTTCTGAATGATTTTTCTGTGATCCATTTTCACTCAATGGACTTCTTCAAATGATTTAAGTCTTCAAGAAATCACTTAAAAGAATTTTTTTTTCGTCAGACTTCAAGTTTCATTCAAAGCACCACATACATTTTAATACAATTGCTCTCTTGCTAATTATTGTATATGCTTTGGCGATGAAGTGTATAATGCAACATGAACAAGTGAAGAATTGTGACCAAAAAACTTATTATGACCCGACAATAATCAATATATTATATATTCGAAGCCTTATTTTGCAACAGATTTTGTTTTGCAACCAGCCTAATGAAAAATTTACTTGGGCAGTTTTTGAAAGAGGAAGACTTTACAACTTTCTGAGTTTGTACAAGCATGACTGACTTTGAGCAACTATCCTGTAGGGTGACTTACTAGCTTTCTGAGTTTGTACAAGCATGACTGACTTTGAGCAACTATCCTGTAGGGTGACTTACTAGCTATCTGAGTTTGTACAAGCATGACTGTCTTTGAGCAACTTTCCTGTAGGGTGACTTACTAGCTATCTGAGTTTGTACAAGCATGACTGACTTTGAGCAACTTTCCTGTAGGGTGACTTACTAGCTATCTGAGTTTGTACAAGAATGACTGACTTGAGCAACTTTCCTGTAGGGTGACTTACTAGCTATCTGACTGAGTTTGTACAAGAATGACTGACTTGAGCAACTATCCGGTAGGGTGACTTACTAGCTTTCTGACTGAGTTTGTACAAGCATGACTGACTTTGAGCAACTTTCCTGTAGGGTGACTTACTAGCTTTCTGACTGAGTTTGTACAAGCATGACTGACTTTGAGCAACTTTCCTGTAGGGTGACTTACTAGCTTTCTGACTGAGTTTGTACAAGCATGACTGACTTTGAGCAACTTTCCTGTAGGGTGACTTACTAGCTTTCTGACTGAGTTTGCACAAGCATGACTGACTTTGAGCAACTTTCCTGTAGGGTGACTTACTAGCTTTCTGACTGAGTTTGCACAAGCATGACTGACTTTGAGCAACTTTCCTGTAGGGTGACTTACTAGCTATCTGAGTTTGTACAAGAATGACTGACTTGAGCAACTTTCCTGTAGGGTGACTTACCAGCTGTCTTAAGTTTGTATAGAAATAATTGACGAGAGCAACTTTCCTGCAAGGTGACTTACCAGCTTTCTGACTGAGTTTGTACAGAAATGATTGACAAGAGCAACTTTACTGCATGGTGACTTACCAGCTTTCTGACTGAGTTTGTACAAAAATGATTGACAAGAGCAACTTTCCTGTAGGGTGACTTACCAGCTTTCTGACTGAGTTTGTACAGGAATGATTGACGGGGGTCATTGTGGTCTTTGAGGGAAAGTTGCAACAAGGATCCTGATTTCTTCCACTTCTGCATAAACCACATCCCTAGTGATGTAGACAGGAAAAATATCAACACAGGTCATCATTCACTTTATATTTGATAAGCAAAATAAAACATAATGAGATTACATATTGTAAGAAGTTTTTTTCATTATTTATTTGTTTGCTAGGTATATCGTTCACTATGGTCATTTTCAGGCAGGGTCCCCTTGTAGTCAGTGGTGGATACCTAACTGAACAACAAATGGGAGACCGGTCGAAATGCCATACAGAACAATTTTGGTAGGACACAATCACTTCAGTACAGACAGGTCTCGTTCACAGATTCCCATGAAACTCAAATCATTATGGGAAAGGAGAATAAAACTTAACATCTAGATATTCAAATAAAGTTGGAATGTAAATCATAACACTGTAGATATTCACATGAAGTTGAAGTGTAAAACTTAAGGCCTTGGGTATTCACATTAAGTTGGAGCATAAAATTAAACACCTGAGATATTCACCTGAAGTTGCAATGTCTAAAACTCTACCAAATGAGCTAATGTGGCCCGTTCAGTCAGAACACAACAAATACAACAGAATTCCTCTGAAATAGGCCAACCTTCCTACTTCGAAACATTTAAAGCACAGCTCCATGGGCTTATTACAGAATAGATAAAACATTATATTGTACATATCAAGGTTGGAAAAGGGGCAAAAGTTTTCCAAATATCCCACTATTGGATTTAGGGCCATTAATTTCAAAGGATAATCCCATCACACAAACCCATTTAGTGTTCCATTAATCTACACTTATATTCCCATCAATCTCCTATTAAAACATAAATATTACATGGCATTGAACTGACTGATCCATGCGTGGTGCAAAAGAAGGGAAAACAGATGCTGCGTTGGATATCTAGATGACATTAATAGAGGAACTGGACAATACCTACCCATATTTACTAAGCCACTGCTGTTGTACAGTGTCCCAAGGTGGGGCCCAGAGAGGGATAGAAATGTGTAGAGTTTAGGCACCAGGTGAGCCAGCTTAGGACGTGACACTACAGACCTCACAATGATGTTTCCCAGGGAATGTCCCACAAAGCTGCAACAAACAAATGACATTTTCCTACATTTTTTTTTAAAAAATAATTAATAACAAGACAATTAGCAATGATCCCAAAGAACACAGTAATGATGCAGTTAGTTATCAAGTATCCATATTTCATCTAATATCAGATTCAGTCCAAATCTACCCTATATATACGATCAAGACATGTACACATTACATTGAATGTAAAAATACTATCTGGGTATTCTTAATAACTTTTATAGCCTACAACATGGTGCCAGGGGCTGATTAAATGTTTCATTTTTCCTCAATTTAAAGGTTATTATTAAAAACAGGTTAATATTAAAGAGACTTTTCCAGCGGGAGTTTTATCTAGTTAGAAGTCCGTCCTTTTAAAAGAGTAATTTGTTAATTCATCACACCACAGACATCAATCAGACTTTTTTTCTTCTTTTTATTTAAGTAAGCTTTTTAAATTCTAAGGCTTTGTACTTATGGTTTATCTTTGTTTCACAGTTAACATTACACAACTGTATACAATTTATTTTACCTACAATCAGTTACCAGTTAGACTAAAGAGCTATGAATCCAATCCATTCAAGCACTATTGAAGCAAACCTACCTGACTTTAGAAGGGTTGATACCATACAGATCTAGGAATGATAATATCTCTGACTCCAGGCGATCAGTCATCAACTCAAAGTCAGCAAACGTATCCTGCAAGCAGTCAAACATGATAAAACATTAAATCATTGTACCAATATTTCTGTCACAAAACACTTTTTTTTCTTTAAGCATTAAACTATGGTAATCAATGATTCATTTCATAATTCTTTGTATAAATAACATGTAATACAGAAACTTTCAGCTATTCAACCTTTCAGTGAAGTTGTTCATATTTTTTCTGTCATAACTTACTGTCAATAATAATTCAATCTAAGATAAATAATTTTTGATATTTTATAAAGGAAATCTCGCTAAATAAGCTTGCTAAGAGAGTTATTTACTTCCTATTTTTAAGAGAATTTTTAATTAATTTCTTTTACAACACCATATCATCTGTTAATATTCTCAGCTATAAAATTGGAAAATATCAACTTCCTCACATATCAATGATTTATTTTTTTTTTTTTTTTCATTTGAAGTCATTAAATATTAATTATCCTCCAAATATTTTACAAAGTGGTAGAAGAAACAAACATTCTTTGAATGATGAATTTTATTTACTGAAAATCTTTATGAATTGGTGACTGATCCTTCCGACTTTCATTACAATACCTGATTCCGTTCTGACATGAGGAACTCAATCCTGTAGCCTGGCAGAGCCATTTCTACGTACGTCCGTACAAGTCGCAAGTCAGCACTGTTACCTGTTGTCATGGCAACCAACATGTTACAACATGCAAAGATGGTCTCACCTCAGGTAAGTCATTACAGAACTAGGAAGTGTGATGGTGAATATAAAAAATCTCATAACACTTAAACACTATCTTAAAACTACTATTTTTTGCCAAAACAATCATGAATTGAGATGTTCCAATAAATTTGACAACTTTTCTAGGGATGAAAACGCTAGTTTAATCTGAACTCATCCTTACAATGACATTATTGGGATGACTTATTCTGCAGCATACACATGTATTTAAAAAATCTGGCACTTAGCATTCATGACAAGTCCTAAAAGGACAAAACAGCTGTATGATGCAGTTTAAGTAATTTTTTGGTTCTGCAGTATCTAATTCTACATCATGTAAAAAGGTGCCATTCACTAATATGTCTTTTGTCTGCACGAATTTTTGTTTTCAAAAATGAGACAACAACACTATTTCTGTAATAAAAATTCAATAGTTTTCCTCCAAAGAATTAGTTTAGCATGTAAGTTCCATGTTTTGCTTTTGAAGATTAAAGTATGCCAAAGAATACAGAAATTAAGCAATTTTACTTCCAGAGGTCAGAATCAAAGTTCCAGATTTCATTCCTATAGTTTTACGGACATAAAAACTTACCATCTAAGCCATGCACACACACCACCAGATGTACCCCATCCCCAAAGTCCACATCGTCCGGCGTGTGGAAATACGGAATGGTGGAAGCTAAGCTGGAAGCCTCACTGTAAACAGATAGGTTAGGTAGTTTATACTTAATAATGATTTCCCACACATATTAATGGCCATATCACTAACATCACTCAGCCTACTGTTATCTCAAGCAAATGAAAAACATCCTTACAAGTGACTTCCGCATGTTACTTGAAACATCCAAATATCGAATAACATGTATTTATACAATATTGTATTCAATTGCTGTTTTTGACAAAGTAGAAAAGTGTACAGAAGATCTAATTTATAATTTATATGTACATTTTAGTATTGAAGTAGGTGATTCAGTGTTCTGTGGCCATTATGACCCAGGAATGGGCAAAAACTCAGAATATGTACCGCTGGTTTTCAGGGACTTCCCTATATAAATGGACTGATAGGAATACATTGTATCCCTGGTTTTAAAAAGCCACAGGGAGCACTGATAATTTAAAAAAACAGACTAATTCTGTTCCAGTGATCAGCTGTATGTTGTAACTTACCTGTACATCTCTCCCTCAAACTTTAGCTGTTGTTTGAGCGATTCTCTTAAACTTATAAAACTACAAAATATAAGACAACCATGTTGACGTATAATGAAATAATTATTCAACAAAATAATTACTGTCTTTTAAAAATTTGATAGACATCTGGTATTAATAAGAATGAATAATGTAAACTCATTTATATTTGGGGGAATTTATTTTCATTGATATCATGGGTACTCATTCAACCATGAGTTCTTATGCCTTCAGACCAGTTAACTCTTAAAACAAGACTATGTAATATCAATAATATATTTTATTGCATGCACATACTGTATTTAATTAACCTACATATATGAAGTGTCAACAGAATTTTTTTTTTTTTTTTCTTAATTTGAGTCCCACAAAACATACATGATTTTACCTTCATTAAATCTATAACAAAGATATAGAAAACAGATCATACCTGAGAGTGGAAAAGCCCACTTGTGTGACAAGCTTCGGGCGGTCATTGTCAGCATACTTTGAGAGCTCCGGGAAAGAGAACGAGGACACTACGGGTCGAGACATCACCTCATTAGAGGAAGACTCCGGGGCCTCACACACAACCGTATCCACAGATCCCGACGATGACGTTGGCGTTCCTGCACTTTGATGTATGTTTGTGTCACTGGCTGCTCGTTGTTGATGCTGTGTTGTAGTGGAGAGAGACATTCGCTGACTGAGACGGATGGGGGCTCCAGGGCCCAGCCCTTTCCCCATCAGAGTCCCCCCATACTCTGTCCTTAGAAATTCAATCACAGTCATTTTATCCTCTCCTAGATCTGACTCCTCGGATTCCTGGGTGATAATACCACTGTCTTTAGACAGACTGGGCGTTGACCCCTCCTCCATCCCCTCTGATTCGCGAGGCCGTACACCTAGTTGCTGGGACAAGTCAGGCTGGGGATCTCCTTCAGACACTTTCCGAGTACCTGGCCTTACACTATCAAAAGAATCTTTATCCTGAGGTATATTTGAGGAATTGTTTTTACTCTCTGAACTACATACATTTTCTAAGAATTCATCATAGCCATTAGCGACACAAGTCTCATCATCACTTTGATCATCATTGTTCGTATCATTCGATGTCACATACCAACTTTCATTTTCGTTTAAAGCTTTAGTAATATCATTAGCTAGACTCGTAAAGGCAGTGCTGTCTAGCATAGATTTGTTTTTACGGCCAGACTTGCCTTTGGTTGCACTTGACGTGGCTTCTATATGCCCTGTTATAGACACTGTGCTAGATACTGCACTAGACAGTCCACTGTCACTTTCTCCAGTGGAAGGGTGAGATTTATCACTATCCCCCAGGGGAAGGAGGGGTTTATCACAGGTCCTAGGGGCAGGCGGAGGTTTATCAATAATCCTTGGGGGAGTAATGGACATGCTGTCATCCTCTTGAGATGAGACAGGCTGACTTGTTAAGTCTGCCCCCGACCCCTCCCCAGTCCATGCCTTTTGCTTAGGTAAAGTGGATGACACAGATGTTTCTCCGTGCACTTGCTCAAATTGAATTCGGCCCCGCATATCAGGGTCAGAACGTACCACCCCCTTAGGGAAGAGCTCCGACTTGATCTGCCTCCGCCTGCCATAGGGCGTTTTCTCACGATCCATATAATCTGGTAGTGAGTTTATACTAGCACGACTCCAACTAGATTTAGACATTAGGGATGGCATTGAGAGTGAGTTAGTTAACAGCATGTTCCCAGGGTCACCACATGAATCCATGGAGGATGAGTTGGGACTGAATGTACCTATCACAGATTTGGGGTCGTAGCTAGAAGACGAACTGGTCTCATAGTCTGGAACTTTCTTTCTGTATCCAACAAGCTGACAATCCTTACCAACAACCTTCCCTTTTGCTTCTGCCTCGGAGCAAGAGTATGTTGATGGTCGTCGAAAAGCATCTGGTCGGATGTTCTTGATAAATTTCTTCTTGTGTTTGAACTTGAGCTGGGGAGACTCCTGGCTGTTATTTTTTGATAACGAAGGCTCGGTCTTTTTGTAGGACTGTCTCTCGACTTTATCTCCTTTCTTTGATGAGGCACTGTAGGGTCTATCACGAGCAATGTCTGAAAACAAATACATTGTAACTGACAAGAATTCTAAACCATACCAAATGAAATCTAAGAAATGAACTTTTCACACTGTCTGTGCACATAATCCTTTATCAAACCCTGAAAAGTACTAAATTTCTGTTTGTGATAAAAAGACATATAATTAGGTATATCATTATGCTACTAATTTTTCGTATCACCTGAGGCTGTAAATATCATTGTTTTGTTAGGGCGTAATTTCATTCATTTGAACAACTAGTAGAAGACCATTCACATAAACTAAACTATTTTGCTAATAATTTCTTTGTATTGATCATTTAATTTTACTAAAATGTCTTAATTTTGAATTTTAGTATTCAAATTAATTCACATATATAACTAACAAATATTCAAATTTATTAAATTGTCCTCCAGTCCAATATGTGTAAAAGGAAAAGAACTTATTGAAAATGACATGTTCTATTTAATCTTATGTGTCATGATTTAGTTTATTGATATTTCAAGGATAAACTTTTCACAACAAAACATGACAAAATACTTTCCAAGTTCATGCACTAGTTGACCAGCAACAACACACTGGACCTATATATATATAACACAACACCCACACACAGGGCCATGCAAGACATATGTTTTGTTTAAGGCTGAGAGCATGGATGTACTAACATATAGATTTGTTCGTGGTGATGCATTTGTGTGTAAGAGTACACACATTGAATATTACAAGGTAGCAGGTGTATTGCTTTATCTTGGTTGGGGACCGATAGAGAAATGGAGATCAGGGGCATGTGAGGGTATGTGAGGGTGTGTGAGGATGTGTGTGTGTGTGTTGTGTTGTGTTCACAGATGTAAATATTTGAAAATATCATTTCCCATATATAGTCAGAAAGCTTGTTGTTACATGGCATGAAGTTTCTGAAGAATACGTTAATCCCTGTGACCTGCATTAGGCCAGCATATCTGCTGCTATACTACAAGAAAACATCAGAAGCAGGACTATGGATGGGAACAGATCTGGTTAATTGTGAAGGAAAATGTTCAGGAGTACAAATTGCAATTTTGCATTTTTTCCTTTTTTGAGGAGATGGGGGTTGGGGGTTGGGATTCAGCTTTAATATGAACAAATTTCAATAGGGAATGAGCCCAATCATCTTCCTCCAAAAAGAATGGCCTAGATATGATCAAATATGAATAATTTCAATGGAGAATAGAACCCATTATTGGCCTAAACATCACTAAACCATCAGAACAATTTGGGCCATTGGTATTGTTTTGTTTTATTGTTTGGATGAGTTACATCACAATTGTTTGTTTATGAATTATGCCCTGTTGATATTATTTTGCTATCTGATGAGGTCTATGAGGTCTGTCTTCATGTCTGTAGGTCAGTTCCCATTTACATGTATACTTAAAATGGTACAATGGTATGCAGTTTACAAAAATGAAAGGAAACAGACGGGAAGTCTTATATTTGTCTCAACAGCCAATCAAACCTGATCCATCTACACTATCAGCTGCTGTAACTGATGGGTCAAGGGTCACTAAACAAGGTAGATCACACACTATATAACAAACCACAACAGGTATTAAAAAATCACAAGCCATTGAATAATAAATGAAGCAAAAATAGAATATACTTTCAACATTTCAGTGTTTTTGCTAACCATTTTTGATGAGATTTTAAAAAGTAAGGTGTATGTAAATTGCACATATTGGAAGAGATACTTTGATTACATTCAGTCAAGAAAAAAATAAACTGCCATATTCAAATAACTGAATTGCCAATATTTATGTAACAGAGAATATGGAAACAGATACAAATTTAAGACAACTTACAATGGATATAAAACTACACTGTTTTAAAATAAGAAGCAGATTGTGTATTATGATATTAAGTAACCAGGGCTCTCGATCTGCCGATATTCGGCCCCATTCCCAATGCAAAATAGTATCTTTTTTCCCAAATTTCGAACCCAAGTTTTCCCAATTTTAAGGAAAACACCATTATTTTTCCCAATTCTAAGGGCCCCGGGCCCCAGTCCCAAAATGGGATGTGAGAGCCCTGGTAACTATTTGGTGTATTTATATATATCTGAAATCTGAAAATCAATGTTCATAATACAATACTGATTTGAGATGAAAACAGATTTTTGTCACTGACTCGATTTAAACAAAAATGAACTGCTTGACACTGATTCAATCTGAAATGAAATCAAGTATGAAAATGACTCATTCTGAAATGAAATCAGCAACTTGACAATGCATGACTTAAGTTGAAATAAAATGAACCTATTTCACTTGCTGTCCTAACAACCAAGAATTACACGCAGGGTTAATCTTAACTCAGTGTATTACATATTGAATCTGCTCAACACAGTATCATATTCACTAGCAATGTGAATCACTGTTTAGGAAAACTCTGAGCTCAGTATCTTTCGAGATGTCAGAGAATTTTTTTCTTCTCTTTTTTCACAGTACTCAATATCTAAAAAGGGAATGACCTAATAATTATTGATATGCATCTAACTGAGAGAGATTCAGAAATGGAACTTGACTCCAAAGAAAATTCGGATAATAATGAATAAGTACTTGGAGAGAGAAGCAAAGAAGGACTTTAAGTACTGGAGGGAATGGTCAACATGTGTTTTACAAAATCATGCAGTAAGTTAGGAAGGAACACTTTTTATAACAAACATGTCCTCTAACAACGACTAAATCAATCAATCATATAACAGGAACACAACATGCAGATGAGAAAAAGATCAAAACACACATTGATGTTTATAGTGATGGCCGGGACTACTCACCACCTACTCGGGTACCTTTTTGTTGGACCCCGTTTTTGTTGGGGTTGATTGTTTGAAAGAGTTCCATAAGAGCCTTCTTTTGGGTTCGCTCTGTGGGTTTGTGATTGAAATAGCACACAAAATTATCTCAGGCTTCAGTGACTCTAATAACACTTAACACGTAAAGACAAGATATTTGGACGTTAACGTTAAAATCTGCCTTTAATGTGCATTGCCTTTTCACAGAGGTTCTATGATTCATTAAAAATTCATTTCAAAATATACAATTTCTGTTATTTTGCCAAGGTTACCGCCCTGTAAACAATCAAGGTCATTTTTAGCTAGGTCTCCTTTTAAAAGCTTGTGCAACTGAGGGTGAAAGTGTGATGTCCAGACACAACTATGACAGCAACAGGGTAGAGATAAAACTACAAATCTGATGCTCAGTTAAAACACCTTTCATAAACCAGATGATCTACCTCATCTTATTTCGAAATAATTTGAAAAAATATCTATCATTCATAGCTGTGCCAATGCTAAGAGTCTATTTTCAAACTGATATAACTGCTGCCATTCCAAAAGAAACCAAACAGGAACATTTTAAATAATAGTTTATCTTAACATACAGGTGAGGGATAGAAGAAGAGAGGCTTCACTACAAAAGCAAGCAGGCCATACCAACAAGGAGGAAGTCCAGTTATAATCCTGACTTTGAAGCTTTCTCTGTACTCTGTACAATGAAACCTGTCTAATTTGACACTGAGTTTTCCAACATTCTGTCATACTAACAATATGCTGTCATCCACATTTTTTTGTTAAATTTATTCAATACTGGCAAAAGGAGCTGTATTCTCTGATGCCCTGCCTAATCATAAATATTCAGTTTCACAGGGTGTCAGATAGGACAGGTTTCATTCAAGACATAACAAGCAACTTTCATCTGGGGGGCAAAATATAAACAGCATGCATGAAATCTTTAACAATTTGTAGTCATTGTCTTCAGGGAACTATCAAATGATTCACTATTCCTGAAGGAAAGAGGACAGCTTCCATGCAGCCAATTCCATGCAAAAATTCTTTTTTTACTTTGAAACACCCTAATTTCTTCATGAAGAAAAATTACCAAAATTCTGAGATAATGATATATGTGTCCTAATAAACTTATGTTGTACATAATATTAAATAACTTCAATTATACTGGTGTTTTATGAATACACACAAAAGTGACGTTTTCCACTTTCATCAATAAATCTCAGACAACCAGTGCCCAGATTGAAATCTTCTATTGTTTTCTTTTTCTCCTTGGAAATGCATTTTCCAGAAATTTTTCATGGTAAAGCTAAATACCTAAGAAAACTTTGGTATAGAGATACCTTTATAAACATTGTGATGGTGATGATATACTTACCTAAAGTCATAGGTATATGGTCGCAGTATATATCTTCAAATATCAGCGGAACAGTTAGGCTGTCGCCATCCATCTCTGTACACTCTACACTCAGTGCTGGAATGCTGCGGAAATATTGTGACTCGCGTACCATGTTAGCCATATCAGCATGGCCATGGTAGCTACACAGGAAAAAGGTGGATTGTAATCAGTCAAAACTATTTACAATTTGCTTTAACTTAAGAAAAAAGGGAAAGAAAAAACATCCAGTGAATTTTTGTGATTTCCAATTAAACTTTATTTTTGTTCTTTTAAAATCTCCATGATGTTAAGGTTAATGAAGTTTGACAGCACATCATTTTTAAGGAACAGAAACTTTGAAAACACTTACCTTGGTTCATAGCAAGAGAGGCATTCAGGTTTTGGATAATCATGAGTGAAAAAACCTTCAGCAAATCGTTTTACCTACAAAGAATAAGAAAAAAAGAAATTCATTATCAAACTGGCTACAGTAGTGAGATTTTCAAATAAAACTTTTGCAGGTAGACAGCTGCAGCTGTTGTATGTATATCCTGAATACAAAAAAAGTGATTTTTAATCAACACAATTGACCATTCCTTCTGAATTTTAATTCTTTTGATATTTTTATGCCTCATATATCTCTAAAAAAGTTTCAGGAAGACTTCTCTTTAGCGAAGAAAGAAAGAATTTCAGTAGGGCAGCATGAATAAACAACCATTACACCATTACACCTCATTTATACCTACTTCCAGTCTCTGCATCCTCCCCTGCCCCAACTTCCCTTCCCTCCTGTTCTATATACCCCTCCCCTCCTTATCCCTCAGCATTCATGTCACCTGTCTTCCCTATTTCATCCAACAAGTCTGGAGTTACCCACACAAAGCTCAGTTTACATACCCTGGCTGAGTGGTGCTCCTTAGCCAGATAGTGCATCACAGACTGATCAAGGGAGACAATCTCCAAGAACTGCGTCCACAGAATCACATTTTCGGCACACAGCTGTGTGATGTCTGTAGTGGCTGTCTGCAGGAGGTCCTCCTCATTGTCAAAATTCTGATCAACATACAATGAATATATCTCAAATTTTAAGCACGAGACCATTTTATGTTAAAAGGACAACCACTTCATACAAAGTGTGTCTACTCAAGTATAAAACCACAAATATTTATTCATACACATACAAGTGTCATATGCAAAATACCAAATAATTTTAACCTTAATTAATTAAAGCTTACCTTTAAATCTCCAAACATGATTTTTTTTCTCAGAACTACTGATGCAAGAAATGATATTGTAGTCTGTTGTAGATATGCTGCTAAAATTATTTGCAAGTGATTTTTCTTTCTGGTATTTTAAAGAATTGAACTATTTGCATCAGAAATGATAATAAGGCAGTCTAAATTTTGATACAGAACACTTACCTGTAAATTATTAACTAAGGTCTCTAGCCATACATGACAATTCTTCTGTTCTATAAAACAAATCATAAAACAGTGTCAAAAGTAATAAGTTTGTGTTTTCTAAAGTATACGGTAAGCCATTCACTATATAAACTAATACATTATCCGAAATGACAAACATTTCTTTTAAGACATTTTCACAGTAGTTAAATTGGTTGAAATAACATCGGTTCATCAAAGTTTCTCTTTGTAGAAACTTATTTCCCATGAATTATGACTTTTCTATTCCTAGTTAAATTGTGAATTCATTCCTGTATGTGTTTACATCCATCAGAAAGAAAAAGAAAAAAAAATGTGGTGCATGACTTTTTCCACTCATTTGGGAAATGTGAATGAAACTTAAAGGAGTAAGATATATCTTTGGAATGTGGCCATATTATGAAATAACCACAATTGGGAATAGGAAAGAGCCCTGTGGTGTTAATGGACGAAGATTCACAAGTATGGAAACTCAATGCTAGCTACCATATACCCAGTTAATGAAGACGCATAATATCAAATTACCGAGTTTGAACTGTGATCCTGAGATTTTCGAGAGATACAGCTGAAATGTGGACTGTAGAGATTCAAAGGTGGACAGTAGAATGGTACACAGCTTCTTATGTACATTGTAGGCATTGTGCATCTTGATGGTATCACTAAACACAGGCTCCTGTAAAAAAACAAAAACTACATCTCACATTGTGCATCTTGATGGTATCACTAAACACAGGCTCTTGTAGAAAAACAAAAACTAAATCTTACATTGTGCATCTTGATGGTATCACTAAACACAGGCTCCTGTAGAAAAACAAAAACTAAATCTCACATTGTGCATCTTGATAGTATCATTAAACACAGGAAAACAAAAACTAAATTTCAAATTGTGCATCTTGCAGGTTTACATTAAATACTGATCCTGTAAAAAAAAAAAAAAAAAACTCCATCTCACATTGTGCATCTTGATGGTATCACTAAACACAGGCTCCTGTAGAAAAACAAAAACTAAATCTCACATTGTGCATCTTGATAGTATCATTAAACACAGGCTCCTGTAAAAAAACAAAAACTAAATTTCAAATTGTGCATCTTGCAGGTATCATTAAATACTGATCCTGTAAAAAAAAAACAAAAACTCCATCTCACATTGTGCATCTTGATGGTATCACTAAGCACAGGCTCCTGTAGAAAAACAACAACTAAATCTCACATTGTGCATCTTGATGGTATCAGTAAACACAGGTTCCTGTAAAGTAACAAACAAAAATCATAACTAACATTTTGCATCTTAATGGCATCACTAAAAAGAGCCTCCTGTAAACAAATGAGAGATCCCAGAGAGATCTTTATTTCTTCTCTCAAAGTTTGATGTTTTCACTTTTTCCTCTCTTAATCCCTGTATTTTTACCTCTTCACTGTATGAAATTTGAGAATCCTCTCAAAAAAAATTGGTGATAATATTAAACTCTCAAATCCCAGACGGCTGTAATGTCAGTCACTTTGTTTACCTAATCAGTTCAAATAACAAAGGGGATCTAGGGAAACCTGCATATAAAATTTGAGAAAGATTAATCCAGAACTTCTAAGAAATAGCTAACAGGAACTGTTCACATGTGAATGATGACTGACTGACAACAGACCACCGATGTGAGGCAATTTGAATACCTCAAAATTTGTTAATGGTTGACTAAAAATATAAAAGGTCTTGGTATCTTAACTAACATATGGGAATAATTTAGAGAGATCCATAAATAGCTTATCACTTCTTTGGACATAACAGTAAAAGTAAACAAACAAACACAGTTCCATATTCTGAAAATGAGACCCTTCCTTGCCTGTTCATCTTTGTAGAAAAACTGGGTCACGGAAATATAACATTTGAAGACCTCCTTTAGTTAATACTGGTCTTAAAATCTTTGTTTATACTTGTCCTAAAGCAAATTTTTTTCATTATTTAAGATATTCCAGATAAAGATGGATAAAGGATATGACAGACAAACAACAATTTTGATTCAAAACAAAGAGAGATGTTTCATATGAATGAACCAAACTGTATATTTCAAAGAATCAGAAGATAAATGAGACCTTAAAATAGTTTTGAAATATTTGAAGTTTATAATAATTCCTCAAAAATTTCTTAAATTGGCTTCTGTATATGTATATATATATTTTCTTTGGACTCAGTTTTTGTGGTTTTTCAATTAACTTCTTTCTTACGGACACCTGATTTCGTGGGTAGATACAGCTTAAAAAATCTACTTATTCCAATGTTAGCAATTCATGGACAATTTGTGGAGAACTAATTTCCATAAAAACAACTGCTGTCAGAGACAGGTTATGCTGCCCGATAGGGTCAACTTTAAGCATGAAAAATAATAAAGGGAAATAAGAGGGTTACGATTCTTGTGAACTGCCCACCTACTCGATGCGGCCTACAGTTTTAATGTTGTGCTCTGGACAAAATTTCAGTATGAAAAATAACAAAGGGCACTGCACTCCTCCTTGCTGACATCTATTTACCTATAAAGTTTCATGCCTACACATCTTGTAATTTTAGGGTAATGCTCCAGACAAAATTTAAGTTTGAAAACGAACTAAGGGCAATAACTCCAAAATTATGCAAAAGAAAGTGATGGTTCTTTTGCACTGCATTTCTCCTGGTTAAAATCTATCTACCTATGAAGTTTTATGTTGATACTGTATATAGTTTTAGTGTAATGCTCCAGACAAAATTTAAGTATGAAAAATAACAAAGGGCAACAACTCCTAAATTATGCAATAAAGCGTGATATTTCTTGTGCACTGCATTTCTCCTTGCTGTTATCTACCTACCTATGAAGTTTTATGTTGATACCGTATATCGTTTTTGTGTTTACTGTGGACAAATTATGTACAACAGACAGAACATAATAAAAATCTGGCAAAAAATGAATGATTTTACAATATTTTAGAAATATCAATAGACTTACCCCTGAGATGGTTTTACTTCCAAAATACACCATCTCTAATGTAGCAGGCTCTGGTACTGGTTTGTTGGACTTTTGAGGTCTGGGGACACTGCAGTAGATATTAAAGAATATTCATATTGTACATACAATAATAGTTGCAGCAGTTTTTCCATAAATTCCCCAGAAAATTGTTTAGCTACTTCAACCCTAGCTAGCCTAAGTGTCAAGATAAGCCAGAAGCATTAGACCTTAAATGTGACTTTATCTTTTAACCTGATGTGCTGAGTATTCTAATTGTTTTGATAAGCTGTTGTATGTTCATATATAAATCACCAAATATATGAACGCATCATGAAGGAAATGGAATGTGCATGTTGACATCTGGTCCACATCATTTCATGAAAGGTCCCAAAAATGTAGACATGGTATTGGTTTAGAGTAAAATACTTACTTCAAATATACTGAGAGGCAAAGGCAAAATCTCAACCCTTGGAATAAGTTTCTTAAACAATCAAGAGTCAAGTTTCTTGGGTTAAGATTTACCAATCTAAATTGCCCCTAAATGGAAACAATTTTGAATGACAAATTTTACAGGCCTGTCCTTACCTTATGTAGGGTTGGTGTATTGCAATGAGAGTCCCGTGGACGGTGGTTTCCAGGGCACACAGATGAAAGTAGTCAAACAGGACGGGGATGTGGTGGTGGAGTCCCTTTGTGGGACTGAAATGGAGCTGAAGGGTACGCTGGGATACACATTCCATCTTTTCGTGGAGGCCTTGAGGTCTGAAATAGGGACAATGAACAACAACATTTAATATAGGACATTCAACAAATGATATTTCTGTTGAAATTCTAGATTTATACGGTATATATATGTAGTGAATCAGAATCTTGTGTGCACAATTAAAAAAATGTATTTTAAAAGTATTTAGTTGAATGTGGTGTATGCATCAGTTTTCATTGGACATATGTTTAACACTTACCCACTCTCCTCTTCTGAAAACCATAGTTCCAATTCTACTTGCAGTTCAAGTTTCTCCAGGCTTTCCTCTATCTGAAAATAAAATACGGAGTATATAATACAAAAATCAAACTTCATCTTCTTTACATTTAGAATTCTACAAAAGCTTGTCTTTCAACCTGGTTTGATGATATAGAGTAACATTTCCACAAAAATTCTATTGTCTCCAAACTTTTGATCAAAATTATTTACCATCTGACACACTGTGCCAAACATTTGCCATTTATGAATGTTATGTTATTTCTCATTCAGTTGTTGAATTGCAGTTAAAATTTTGACATGAAAAGGAGTAACAAAGAAGAAAAATGTGAATGTCAGGAGAAATGATCAGGTGGAGATAAATGCAGTGACATTACAATCTTATCAATTTTCCTTGGGTGAGGGGTGATTTTTGTGTTGATATTTCGGGTATGTTTAATCCACAAAGTAATATGTCAATGAATGTTGAGTACAACTTCTATATAACGATGTTTATCAACCACATGAAGCGTCCACAAAATTGTGATTAAAAAAACTACTTATTCCACACAAATTTTACTCAAGTTATTAGGAGTTACGTCATATGCCTTTTCTCAAAAAGTCAGACTACACATTAGATTTGGCTAAATACTGTTATCTCACAAGGTTCCATGTTGAACAGGTAAATTTTACCATGTCCTTAAGTGTCAAATATTGTAAAATCTAACTGGTGTCAGATTGGCAAGTTAACTTCTGATTGAATACTTCAAATATTGTATATCTCACAAGGTGTCAGATTGAACAGGTAAATTTTTACCAAATACATAAAGTGTCGGATAAAGTAAATCTTACAAGGTGTCTAACTGAACAGGCAAATTTTGACCAAATGATTTATGCGATATTACTTATCTTGCAGGTTGTCAGATAAGACAGGTAAATTTTGACCAAATGATTTATGCGATATTGCTTATCTTGCAGGTTGTCAGATAAGACAGGTGAATTTTGACCAAATGATTTATGCGATATTGCTTATCTCGCAGGTTGTCAGATAAGACAGGTGAATTTTGACCAAATACTTTAAGTTTCAGATATTGTAAATCTCACAAGAATCAGGACGGACAGGTGAATTTTGACCGAATATAAGTTTCAGGTAGTTAATCTAAAAGGGTGTCAGAATAAACAGTACAGCATTCATGCAGGTCTCTTTTTTAAAAAATCTCTAGCCTCTTGAAATATATGTACAGGATGCAAGCATGTCCACATTTCCTGCTAATCAATAATTTTACTTTAAATAGTCTTTTGCAGAAATACACTGTGTGTAGCTGTGACTTGTTACAGAGATGTCCATTGATCAGACCCAGCGTGTGCATCTTAAGTAGAGGCTATTACACTTATTTACTGGTTGCCGACTCAACGGAGTATATAATTATTGATTAAAGATAAATAGTGGACATGACTCTGCCATTACGTGAATGCCACCTCTACACAGAACAACACTGGTACAGAACAACACAGTTCACCAGACAAGCTGTTTTACAAATCATCCTATAGTTGCGCTATTGCTCTAATACTTCATATTGATTTCACTCAGCCCAAGCTGATTTTCTTTACTGTCAATAAATCTTAGGACCAAATCGGATGAAAATGTCCATATTTATATATGCTGGTATTTAACTAGTATACTACATCTTCCACTGAACCAAGTATCAGTGCAAATCATGGCTGTATATAATGGCTGTATATAATTTGAAGTGTTCATTTATTGGGTAATGATATTTACATGTATGCTCTCATACATTAATTTCACAATTTCCCCTCACACTAAACAATTGTATATCAGGTGATGATGACAACATAATTTCTGAACTGCAATTTACACCTTAGCTATCCAATGCTCGATGTAAAATTGTTGTGATGATGGTTATCATCGTCATCCGAAACACATCAACAATACAAACACTAATTCATGGAATCTCTGATGTTGGTGCTACATCTCCTATTTTCTTGCTGTATTTTCTTATCTTGGAAGAGATCAACAAAAAGGCCTGGGAAGGTGAAGAGATCAGCGAAAAGGTCTGGGAAGGGGAAGAAATCAACAAAACGACCAGGGAAGGAAAAGAGATCAACAGAATGGTCAGGGAAGGGGGAAGCGATCAACAGAAAGGCCTTGAAAGAAAAAGAGATCAACAGAAAGGTCCGGAAAGGGGAAGAGATCAACAGAAAGGCCTGGGAAAGAGAAGGAATCAACAGAAAGGCCCAGGAAAGGGAAGAAATCAACAGAAAGACAAAGGAAGGGAAAGAGATCAACAGAAAGGCCCAGGAAAGGGAAGAAATCAACAGAAAGACAAAGGAAGGGAAAGAGATCAACAGAAAGGCCCAGGAAGGGAAAGAGATCAACAGAAAGGCAAGGGAAAGGGAAGAAATCAACAGAAAGGCCCAGGAAAGGGAAGAAATCAACAGAAAGACAAAGGAAGGGAAAGAGATCAACAGAAAGGCCCAGGAAGGGAAAGAGATCAACGGAAAGGCAAGGGAAGGGGAAGAAATCAACAGAAAGGCCCGATTAGGGGAAGAGATCAACAAAAAGGCCGGGGAAGAGAAAGAGATCAACAGAAATGTCAGGGAAGGGGGAAGGGATCAACAGAAAGGTCTGGGATGGGGAATGGATCAACAGAAAGGCCCAGGGAAGGAGGAGAGATCAACAGAAAGGCCTGGGAAGGGGAAGAAATCAACAGAAAGGTCTGGGATGGGGAAGGGATCAACAGAAAGGTCTGGGCTGGGGAAGGGATCAACAGAAAAGTCTGGGATGGGGAAGGAATCAACAGAAAGATCTGGGATGGGGAATGGATCAACAGAAAGGCCCAGGGAAGGAGAAGAGATCAACAGAAAGGCCTGGGAAGGGAAAGAGATCAACAGAAATGTCAGGGAAGGGGGAAGAGATCAACAGAAAGGCCCAGGAAGGGAAAGAGATCAACAGAATGGTCAGGGAAAGGGAAAAGATCAAAAGAAAGGCAAGGGAAGGGGGAAGAAATCAACAGAAAGACAAAGGAAGGGAAAGAGATCAACAGGGAAGGGGGAAGAGATCAACAGAAAGGTCTGGGAAGGGGAAAAGATCAATAGAAAGGCCTGGGAAAGAGAAGGAATCAACAGAAAGATCTGGGATGGGGAAGGAATCAACAGAAAGGCCTAGGGAAGGAGAATAGATCAACAGAAAGGCCCAGGAAGGGAAAGAGATCAACGGAAAGGCAAGGGAAGGGAAAGAAATCAACAGAAAGGCCCGATTAGGGGAAGAGATCAACAAAAAGGACGGGGAAGAGAAAGAGATCAACAGAAATGTCAGGGAAGGGGGAAGGGATCAACAGAAAGGTCTGGGATGGGGAATGGATCAACAGAAAGGCCCAGGGAAGGAGGAGAGATCAACAGAAAGGCCTGGGAAGGGGAAGAAATCAACAGAAAGGTCTGGGATGGGGAATGGATCAACAGAAAGGCCCAGGGAAGGAGGAGAGATCAACAGAAAGGCCTGGAAAGGGGAAGAAATCAACAGAAAGGTCTGGGAAGGGGAAGGGATCAACAGAAAGGTCTGGGCTGGGGAAGGGATCAACAGAAAAGTCTGGGATGGGGAAGGAATCAACAGAAAGATCTGGGATGGGGAATGGATCAACAGAAAGGCCCAGGGAAGGAGAAGAGATCAACAGAAAGGCCTGGAAAGGGAAAGAGATCAACAGAAATGTCAGGGAAGGGAGAAGAGATCAACAGAAAGGCCCAGGAAGGGAAAGAGATCAACAGAATGGTCAGGGAAAGGGAAGAGATCAAAAGAAAGGCAAGGGAAGGGGGAAGAAATCAACAGAAAGGCCTTGAAAGGAAAAGAGATCAACAGGGAAGGGGGAAGAGATCAACAGAAAGGTCTGGGAAGGGGAAAAGATCAATAGAAAGGCCTGGGAAAGAGAAGGAATCAACAGAAAGATCTGGGATGGGGAAGGAATCAACAGAAAGGCCCAGGGAAGGAGAATAGATCAACAGAAAGGCCCAGGAAAGGGAAGAAATCAACAGAAAGACAAAGGAAGGGAAAGAGATCAACAGAAAGGCCCAGGAAGGGGAAGAGATCAACAGAAAGGTCTGGGATGGGGAATGGATAGCAAAAAGCCCCGGGGAAGGGATCAACAGAAGAAATTCTTACTTAGTTTAGACTTGACTTACTGAAGGACCATGATTAGCATTTTTATAGGTGTGGATATTATTACCAGTCAAACTGTTAGCTAGACAGAATATACATGTATTCTTTCCTGTCATCCAGTAGCATTTAGGAAGAAAATTGTTACCAATAACATGAAAAATAAGAACAGAATGTGTACTAAGTGTTTAATACATAATAATACATTGTACATATTATATGTTATTCCCATAAGTTCTTCTTTTATAACTTATCCAATGGATCTCTCCATGACCTTGAGTATAATCTGTGTTTCAGGCATGTGCATTCGAAGCACTTATCTTTGTTTGAGATGGGATCTTAACAGTAACAGGTCTATCTACATTATGTACAAACCTCACACTGAAGAGATAAATGTATCGAATAAGAAATAAAACTGTTCTCTAGAGAATCACCATTTCTTTAGATTTACTGACCATGTATTATACAGGAGACTGTGAGTGACTGAACCCAGACATGTTCACAGGATCAATTAGACGATAAACGACACAGTGAACATTAGTGCATTGATCTATGTAAAGGAAGACAAAAAATCTCCTTTCACTTCTCAAAACTTTAAATATTAATAAAGTAATATAACAATACACTAATAAAAGAAATATTTCATCATTCTCAGTAAATATTTGACAAGTAAATTTTGGCATGAAAATGTTTTCCAATAATTGTATTCTCACTGACTTGGAGCTCTGACTCCAATATATTGTCCACTCATACCCTTCCCCACTAGATTTCCACTACAGACACAATCAAAGGGCAGAAGGCCCATAGAAATATCAGGCCACGAGATAATTTAAATAAAATAATCAGTGATAGGTACTTCTGGTGCTGGTTCTCAAATCCTTTTTATTTGTACACCAGATTGCTTAATTCTTCAAAATTCATTATCTTTTTATGCATGCATTGTGTCCAGGTGTGCATCCATAACACAAAACTTGGGTACAAGATGCTTCAGAACATTTTCTCCAGGTTGGTAATGTCAACAGAATAGTAGTTCTTATAACACAACCAGTAGAAGATTTGTGTGAGGCACTATGACTACCCCTTCATCAGACAAATAACAATTATGAAGTATACTAGCACTGACATACATAGTGTATGAAATGGTGAGGAATCAACCAACTTTTTGGGCTGTACTATAGTCTTATGTACATTATGACAAATGGAAAAAAAAATTTAAAACCCACAAGATGGTAACAATGACTCGAATACTACAAAAACAATTGGCGAAAGTGCTAAACAAATTTTGCAGGTCAATTTTCGAAATTCAGAGTGGCCACTGTCAGCTATCTCTCGCATCCTATCAACAGCAAATAATTCACAAGACAGACTTTTTGGAGTACGGAAAAAAAGCAATAGATATTCAAATTATCTGTAAGATTGTAGGTTAGAAGTCCAAGTTATGTCTGAACTAAAATCAAAATCACAAATTATGACCAAATCTGGGTTGTACACCCTAAAATCTTACATAACACATAACTGGGTTGCCGTTACAACTCTTCCTCAGTCATTGATATAAAAGCAACTTTTTGATGTTGATACTTGGAAGTTAACACTGTCTGGATAAGTAAGGAAATAGTCTCATTTTTGCAACTTTGCTGCAAGAAAACAAAAAAACACAGCAAATACTTCACAGTAAATTTAATACAATAACATCAATTACCTTGGAGCTGTCGACAAGTGTGTGGAGACGATACAACACCAGGTCATTGATTGGAACATCTTCATTACGGTAAAGTATTTGGAAAGTCTTGCTGTAGGCTGTTCCATTTACAACACAAGCAGGTAGCACTAGTACATCCTCTGTAAGGCAAAGTTCAGGCTTTAAAACCTAATCATGTTGACAGGGATGTCCATATCAATCTTTTTTTTTATAACTTTACCTTCACGTCTATTAGCATTGTTCCAGCAATACAATAACACTTTTTCTTAGTTAGCATGTTTAACATGATTTCTACTTCACTCAAATAGTGAGTTTAGACTTTTAGAGTTATCAGGATATGTCTATATGCTTTTATTTTATGCTCTTAATATCTCATGTTACGGATGATTTGAATTAAAAATTTGTCATAAGTCAAAAGCCAACCTAAAGAACTAATTGCTTGGTTTTAACATTAAAAGTTCACCACCTCAAAATATGTAGCAAGTCAAAATTTTAGTGAAATTACTATGAAAACGGGACAGAGCTTCTGAAAAACACTAAATTACATAAAAATTTCAATTACCCTGACAGGAAATGTCATAACAACAAATCCTGAAGGAACATGTAGTGAGAATCCCCTTATAACACATCTCCAATTTTACAAAAATAGTTTTTAATTTACACAGACCTTTTGAATTTTGAAATTGACATTAAGTTGCTAGATATGGCCCATTCCTTTCAGTGCAACTATATGATAATCTTAATGAAGATGGAGTTGAATTCAAATACAATACCTGATGCCTTGGCTAGGGTCACTTCTATTTTAGCTGGAGTTCTTGGACTTGTCTTCAGACTGGTTCTGATATTATAATACCTGTAAAATAATGAAATAACTTTTGAACTTACTGGTGGATACTTCATGAAAAGCATTGATATTCTTATTTCAAAATGTTAATTAGTGACCTGAGTAATATTTGGAATTAGAGCTGAATAAAGTATCTGATAGGATCTCTCTTTTCTCATACAATCTTGTATATATATCCTGTTCTATTTCAAATCTCTACAATCATTGGTCCCTTAAAACAATACAAGCTAATGTCAGAACTTACCCTCTTTGAAAGAGATCTACATTATAGAACTTGTTGTACTCCACCGAGAACTCGAGAGTAGCCTGAAGTTCTGTCATGCCTCTGAAATCACAAGAAATAGAATTTCATCACCATTAGCCAGTAATAAAAGTGGACTATGATGAATACAACCTTTAGAACAAAGACATTTTATACCAAATTAAGATTGTCATCAATTTTTGTACTTTTTGGTGGAACTGGATAAAAAAAAAATTGTTAAATCAAAATCTGGTCTTAAATGGCATGGCTAGCATGCACCTTATTTCAGTTATATACAAAATGCAAATATAGATGTAGTATCAACATTTTACAGATTAATTCTAGCAAAACATACTTGTTCTAATTTGTGATATCACTAATAATTGAGAAATCGAGAATCTGGACCTAATTTTCAAAGTTAAAGACATTTATGAGAATGTGGTGAGAACATGTTATTCATGATTGCATAAAGTTATCTACTCGCCACTTCTGTTTTTCTTCATCTTTGTAAACTACAGCTTATATTTTAAGACACTGACCATATATTCTATTTATCCTGCTTATTTCAAATTCAGACTACTGAAATTTCAACAGGCTATGCAATCTTTGTTCACCTGTCGTTGAAGCTATGCTGAATCGTGCCTGATGAGGCACATCAATATAATTGCTCCTCTGGAAATATAGTTCCACACTCCCGGAAAATGTTTTTTTGTAACAACAAACCAGTTAGCTTAAAAAAGTTATTTTTATACTTTGACTGAAATGATTATGCAAATCAGGAAGAAGTACTGTCAAAATTAATGAACATCCTAAAATACAGCTGTTTTCCATCAATGACAAATACAACCAAAATATATATGGTAGATGTGTTCCGACAACGGCAGTGCCAGTTGCAGGATAAATACATGGCCACATGCATGGAGTCAGATTTGAAGTTTGAACTGGCAGATTAAATATGCCACACTGGTAAGTCATATAGTAATACTTGCAAACTGAAAGGCAAAATTAAAGCCAGTCTTGGACTCATTTAATGATCATTCTAATACTTTTCATATCTGGGTGAAATTAAATTAAAAAAATTTGCAGCATCAACATAACATGTACCAAGACTTTGAAAACAATTTGACTGTAATTTATGTTAATAATTCAGATATATAATTGCAGCTATATGTAGTGACAAATCTGCAAACATTTTGACTAACTGATTATGTAAATAATATCATCACTAACATGTTTTTTGAAAAAAATATGTTTTAACGTTGGAAACAGTGATTAAGGGGGTATTTTATATATACATATAACAAAAATATACAGGAAGTGGGGCAAACATGTATGACCGATTTTTCCTTTCATTTCCTACAGGATATGGCATCTATATATGTATATAAATGGTATGTTGTGAATAAGTCAATACAAAACGAAGTGGAGCTCTTCTTTCTTTAAAGATACATAACAAAGAACCAAGACATTTGAGCTCTCTTAAGTCCTAACGAGGAAGAAGATAACAGAAAATGAAACCAGATTTTAATACCACAATACATGTACCTTTTTATTATGGTGCTTGATATCACTATCGAGAGACTGGTCTGCCATTGACTCTAAACATTTAATTTACAATTATGTGTACTGTAGCACTGTACAACTTATTTACAGTACAGATTATGCGTGATAAAACATAACAGGAAACATTTACATCACTGAAATAATTTGAATTCCTTTCCACACCCCAAACCCGTATCACATTATCAATATATAATTGGTCAGGTATCTGTGACATAACAGGGACAGGTTTTACTTGTCATTTTGTCGATGTGAATCACTGAACCCTAACGTGTTGACATTTCGGCAGACATTTTTATCAAACATTTATCTCTCGTTCTCAACTGTACGATTTCGTGTTGACTACAAACCTTGTGAGTGCTTCGGTATATCCTCTCCCAGAAAACCCTCACCATAAATGCCAAGTTTGGGCGTAATTTAAGATTACCCTAGCAATCATGTCTAATGTAAACTGACTGACATGCCAGACAGATTTCCACTTCCTGTAATTTTGCACATGCGTAAGAGGGTTTCCGACCGCTTGACATTCTGGCGGGAAATATTCTGTTGACCTAAAATTACTAACAACAAACACTAGAAAAATCTTCAGGAAAGCTTTAGATTTATACAAAGTTCTGTTTGTAAGTACAATCAAATCTCGAAGTCATGCATGAAAATACAGCTATAGCACCATTTTCTCAGTTTCTGCTAGAAAAAATTGCCCTGATTTCCACACAATATTGATAAGGGACATATGGATGAACATGTAAAATTATCTGGTGCTTGTGAATGTTCTTAGGGATATTTTTATTGTGTGGCACGATGTGTGAGAGGGGAGGGTGTGTGTGTGTCTGGGGATGGGGTGGTGGGTCAGTCATCACCTATTCCAAAACCTTCTGAAAATACTGGGTCTGGCGCCCCTTTACATCATTGATTTCGTAAAACGTTTCCGGTTTCAATCGGTATGTGACTAGGTCGTTATCACGGGAAGAGAAGAATTTTAAATGACCTTAGACCGGTGGAGATGTGGTGTGCACCCGGCGAGCACAATGTAGAATTTACCAAGTGACAATTTCTTGCAAGAATGATGAACTGGAATTCCATCATCAGACCAGAGACATATATAACACGTGATACATACGTCTCTGATCAGACATACGTCCTCTCAGGACATTGTTTACTTAATATTCCGCGATCGAAAATGTTATGCCCCGAGTTAGACTACGAAAAGCAAAATACAATTTACATAAAAATCACAAAACGCAACATGCGAAATGAATGGTGGGAAATTGGACTGTAGAAATAATTTCATTATATTAGCAGAATTAGCGACAGCAAGTGATGTACATGTACCTTTCCATCCTCGATACTCCATGGGTTACGGTCACATTCTCTTCCTGTGATGGCAAAATTGAAGGCAAAAGCGAAATAATTTGATTGGTTCCAGGAGTAAAAAACAGACCAATCGCCGACTGATACGCTCCTTTTGAAATTACAAAGAAGCAACTTAAATGCCATTACAAATTACAATATACCTTTATGCGACCTCGAGATTCGTTTGATGTACATCAAAGGATCAAACTATTCTTTTTGTCCTGTTCACAAGGTGTCGCGCATGGAACTTTTAATTTTGCCATGACATGTTCCCGGGGTGCAGAGAGCGAAAGTAATCGTAACCCCTGGAATATCGAGTATGTAGTCAGTAATGCACGGAGAAATAGAACGACCTTTTTCTGCATATTGTTAAGTAAGAGTTACCTCCCTTAGTACTTCTGTTTGTATTTAAGTTTGTATTTCAATTTTTTTTTCTTTTTTTTTTTCATTTTATTGACTTTTGGCCTTCCGGCTCATCAGTACAATGCATATACATACAAATCATGCATATTGGCACGACGCACAGTGCTACAGTGGAGAGAGTAGTATATTATTAGTATGAAAGAAGAAGACATTCATTTCTCAACTTGTTAGCTTCAACAATGTATTTACCAAGCTGACATAGTTCTTTTTGTATTCCTAGTACTTAATAATTGTGAAAACTTAAACATTGATGGTATTTTCCAATAATATTTCTTTATATATAGTGTTCTTAAATTTCGATATGACTGACATATTAAAACAAAATGATACTCATCTTCAACTTCATTATTTGAATTACATGATATACAATATCTCTGGGATCGAGCAATATTTCGGTATCTGTCTGTCTCGATCGCTAAGGAATGTGCAGACAAACGTAATTTTGTTAAATTTATTCTTAATTTCTTAGGAATATATCTTGTTAAGTAAAACTGTATGGATAAATTGTCTACAAGGTGTTTATAAAGGAAACATTTGGATGAAGCTTCTAGCAGGCCTCTTAAGTGTTGTTGGCCTTGATAAATAATTCTTTGACGAATAAGAGGTAAAATGAAATTAATATTGAATGGAGATTGGGCTAACCAAACACCACCAAAACCTAAGAAAAACAATTGATCTTTCACATAATGTAACCAATTAAATCAGGTACCTGTGGGTCTATCTCGTAAAAATTCATGTGCACAATTCAAAATACAATTTTCGGTATCAAGCAACTTAAACCAATACTTGATAATTCTATATTTTCTCATGTACTCTAATGGCAGACGCCCAAGTTCACAATAAACCATAACATTTCATGTTGTTTTTTTTACTTTAAGAACTTTCTTACAAAAATTTAAGTGATTTTTTTCTATATTTAGTGCCTTTATGGATCCCCATATTTTACATGCATAGACCAATATGCTACTTATATATGTGTCAAAAAAACTTAACATAGTTGTACAGTTAAGATTTCGAGTAGAACATTTCGACAACAAAGCAAACATTGCTTTAAGATCTTGCTCAGATAAATGTTTCTGAATAATATTAAACTCGTTATTGTATTTGAATAACACACCCAGGTACGAGAACTGATCGACACAATCAACTGGATTACCTTTATATGACCAAACTTCAGTGTTGCGAATTTTCCCACTGTTTCGAAAAACAAGAATTTTTGTCTAATCTATATTAACAGATAGCTTCCATTGCTCAGTATAGCTAGCAAGATTGTCTAGTAGTTCCTGTAAACCCTCAACAGTCTCAGAGAACAGAACTAAATCATCTGCATATAACATAAGAAAAAGACTTACTTCACCAAAGTTATATTGGTTACTACAATTTGAGATGAAATGAGATTCAAAATCATTTACAAACATAGAAAATAGAATTGGGGACAAAATTTCCCCTTGCATCAAACCGATGTCATTAGCAAAAAAAATCTGATATGCGGCCATTAAATTTCAAACAAGACCTCACATTTTTATTTATTGACTTAATGACACACAGAAGTTTACCCTTTATTCCTAACTTAGATAGTTTATACCATAAATTTATCCGGTCAACACAGTCGAATGCCTTCCTAAAATCTACAACACAGCAGTAAAGGCGTTTATTTTCACTAAAAGACTTTGTTATTATAGAATGTAAGGCAAATACAGTATCAAATGTACTAAGCCCTGAGCGAAAACCAAACTGCGCATCA